ACACACATACGTACACACACACATATATTTTTTTATAACACACATACCAACCACACTCTGACATCCATACCAACAATTATCGTTGCATAATTTATCCAATTGGCTCTATAATATGCCAAACCAGAAAACAGGAATAAAGCGAGTATTTGCTTTATAGGCCAAACCTGACAAAATGGCACCATCTGGTAAAAAATAGTAAAAATGTACATTTTGAAGCCTTGCCAACAGAATGAAAGCCTCTTAACAAAGATTGCATCATTTTACAGTTTAATGGCCCAGGGATTAAAAATTGCAGTTTCAATGGGGACATTTTTGTTCAAAAGGCGCTGAGAGGAAGTATTTTGTGTACTTAGTGCAAAATAGATTTTTTTTAAAGGAAATGGGGATGAAATAGTAAAATTCCAATAAAAATACACACCTGTGCCAAAATTCATGCAGTTAGCATTAACAACAACAACAAAAAGTTACACATTGGTCCATAGTGGACAAAAATGTCCAATTCAAATAACTGTCATAAAAATGTTAAGCTTGGGAGCAAAGACTTAAAGGTGAACTAAGTAACTTTTTTACCTTAACCGAACAGCTTTGGAGTCATTGTAATGTTTATATTACTGATTTCGTGTTGAATGGTGGTCATCTCACACCCCCCTGGTGCCTGTGAGCCGCAAAACCACCCTTGCAACTTTGGGCCGGCGGGCCTGAGTGTTAGGAAGTATCGTGTGATATCAGGTCTCGCGAGGTAACGAATTGCTTTACGGCAAAAAAACAGATCTGATAAAATGAGCATCAAACAGAAATAACCCGGCGCCGTATACATGTGGTGTTGGGCGCGCGCAGCTCTTAAAGGGGCCATACCTTATTTTCACTCGTTACAGCGTCCATCCTACTGAACAGGTACCGGTGTACAGGGGGAGGGTTTCCGGCCGTGAGTGCGAGCCATCTCTGCGTGAGTGCTATTCACGACAGTACAAGTACTCCACAGCGACTCTAGGGGTCGCTGTTTGACAAAAACGGAATTCTTACTGAGTGCTGCTTTAAAGGCACACTGTGGAATTTTTGGCCACTAGGGTGCGCTCGACCTGTAATTTTCACGTCTAGTGGCCTAGAGGCCACAAGCGCCGCGGCATTTGATTTGTATGTTGGAGAAAGTTAATCGATTCACTACTGACCAAAATAATAATATAAATATAAGATTAGTAATATAAATCCTATAAAGAAAACAAATTGAATAAAAGTAGCATACGCAGAAAACAATGTCTGATCAGGTAAGTCGCATTGACAAGGGTTGCCCAATCCTGCTCCTGCCGATCGTCTGTCCTGCACAGTTCATCTCCAACCCTAATCAAACACACCTGAAGGAAACAATTAACGTCTTCAGGATCTCTTTGCAATGGGTTGGAGATGAAATCGAGTAGTCGGGAAATCGTGTAACAAAACTGATATAACTCACTACATATTTCCGTTATTTGTAGTCTTCAGTTTGTTTTTCCTTTTACACAAATACAAACATATATGAGCTGAAAGGAAAAAAAACATTTACATTTACATTTGTATACGGCAGTATGTTGTGACTTATATCAGTTTTGTTACACAAATTCGCAGTAAATATTACATACACTTTTATGCCGATGTTTATTTTAAACTCTCCCTTTTTCTTTTTTTGGTCTCCTCTGACAAAATCTTTGCTTTCTTCGCTTAAAGCGGTCGAATTTTGTAGTTCTTTTTGTGCTCGGGTTCCTACCCGAAACCCGAAGTTACATAGTGCTAGTAAAAGCGATACAGACACCTTCAGGCTTCGGCAGACGTGTCATTCAACCTATTGTAAGTCGATGTACCATCTCAATGGGTTTTGGTAATATATTATAAAGGTTGAAAAGTTCCACAGTGTGCCTTTAAGTTTGGTCTCATTTTAAAGAAGACACTTGGCAGATTATTGTTGAAGTTAAAAAAGTGAAACCAAAATAGTTTTTATAGAGGTTTATGAAAAATATTTATGAACATTATAATCATTATTTTATTTAAAATATAAATTTTATGAAACACGTTGAACTCTAAAACTGATAGAAATTTAAAGCCATAAATCTAAACAAGTTTTGTTCCAAATTTGAGGTTGATAACTCAAAAAATGAGCTTTGGGTAAGATTTTGTTTAGGGGCAGTAACAGATTTTCCCCATTGGATGCCAGCAAAACTCCACTGGTGCACACAGTGATTTGGATTTTAGATTTGCAGTCGAGGTTTTCTCTCTCAAATATTACAAGCACACACTTTTTTTTTTTATTACACACATACAAACCACACTCAGACATCCATACCAAGACACCCACACAATTATCGTTGCATAATTTATCCAATTGGCTCTATAATATGCCGAAGTAGAAAACGGTAATAAAGGGAGTATTTGCTTTATAGGCCAAACCTGAAAAAATGGCACCATCTGGTAAAAAAATAGTTAAATTTTTAATTTTGAAGCCTTGCCAACAAAATGAAAGCCTCTTAACAAAGATTGCATCATTTTAAATGGCCTAGGGATTAAAAATGGCAGTTTTAATGGGTTTCAATGGGGACATTTTTGTCCAAAAGGCGCTGAGAGGAAGTATTTTGTGTACCTAATGCAAAAAAGATTTTCTTTAAAGGAAATGGCGGTGAAATAGTAAAATTCCCAAAAAAATACACACCTGTGCCAAATTTTATGCAGTTAGCATTAACACAGGCACAGTGATCAAAAAAACTAAACTGAAAAAGACAGAAATGTCCAAAAGAATGCATGCAGGATAATGGAGGCTACTTGCTTCTGTGAACCTTCAATACAACAGAATTTATTTTGTAGTCATACCCAGATATGTGTCTTAATACAATCCTGTCTCTGAGCTCGAAAGGCAGTTCTTTTGACCGCATGGCTTGGTTTTTGCTTTGATATGCATTTTCAGCTGTTAGACCTTTTATTGAGATGTGTGCCTTTCCAAATTATACCCATTCAATTGAATTTGCTAAGGTTAACTCCACTCGAAGTCTAGTAACCTCTATATGTGAAATTGGATTGCTCCTGTGAGCTAACTTTCAAGTGTCCCAGAAAAGGGTATGAATACTTATACAATGTAATTTCAGTTTTTTATTTTTATTAAATTAGCAAAGTTGTCACATCTGTTTTTTTGTTTCATCATTATGGTGTATGGAGTATAGATTAATGAAAAAAAAAAAAAGTAATTTAAAGTAGTTTAACATAAAGGCAGCAACATAACAAAATGTGAAAAAATGAAGGGGTTTGAATACCTTCGCAAGCCACTGTATACATATTGAAGAAAGAATCTTATAGATATCTCAAAGACATAATGTATTTCTCACTTCTTTCATTTAAAGTATCAAGTTTCTCTCAGTTTTCCCCCCATATCTCGAGAGGAGACGTAATGAACAAGAAATCAATTAAATGTCTTAAGATATGAAAGAAACAGGTGGGAAAACTTAATGCCTGTTTGAATGTATTACAAATTAAATGATCAGGTTTGTCTAGTAGTAAAAGTAGCTACAGTACAAATTTAACTGCTGCTGACATAGAGTTTAGAACTATAAAATGTATGTGCATATGCACTGGTTGCCTTGTCATTTAAGAATTAAGTAGACGATTAGTGCGTCTGAATAATCTATCTAAATTTTTTACGCTGTCTTTTTGACATCTTTAGGTTTTTTTTTTAAGTGTCATGCCACAAGATCATGTTTGTTTTATTCTACTTCCTGTTGGTAAAGATGTTGAGATTTTGATTTAAAGGTTTATATAAATGTGGCTGATATTTTTTTTTTTATTGTCACTTCCTCTCTTACAAGGAAGTTTGGATGATCCATCTTTATCCTGGAATAGTTTCCACCTCTCTTTCACTTTCTTGTGCTCTAGCTGTTCTTCAAATACTACAGTACTCCTCCCTCCTTTTCTATCTCTCTATACCTGTAGCTATGTCCTATTGCTCCTTTTAAACTCCCTATTTTTGGAGTTCACTGATGTGAGAGTCATAAATACCAGCGAGGGGTCTTTTGGGATCGTGTATTTTCTGCAGCAATGACAAGAACGCGGGCGGCTAATCAGAGCGGCTCTTATCTGAAGCTGCTCAGCGCCCGACACGGAACAGAGGAATGTGGCCAACTAAGGGGGTTAGAGCTTGCTGAATTCCATGCAGAGGAATAACATGGAGATGAGCTGTAATGCAAGGGTTGATTTTTTTATTTTATTGGGCCTGTTCAGGGCAGACTGTGAATATTTGGCCTCTAGGTGGGGATGGGCCTGAGTTTGTATGTACCTGAGTTTTGTAGTTTTTTTTTATTATTATTCAAATCTTAGTGTCCTGATGTGGGAGTTTTTTTATATATACGTCCGTGTTTGTGTGTGTGTGTGTGTATATATATATATATATATATGTCTCGACATTGTTGCTAAATTGATTGAAAATGTTTGAAATAAAAATAGTAAAATGTAGTTAGACATCAACACACTTGAGTAACTGCTGACCTCTGCAATAATCGTTTTGCTATGCAAATCACCTCCACTGATGCTGATTTGTCTAAGCTACGTGTCACCGACTTACGGGATCTGACAATGTTCCAGAGAATTCTGTCAAGTAGTGTGTGGCCGCAGCATTTTCTTAGATGAGTCGTCCCTTGAGTCACTACCATTCATCAGAACAGCACTGCAGATTTGAGCTGATTATCAGATGCTCTGTGTAAATATCACAAGTGTCAGAAATGCTTGCCGTTGAACATCTGAAAATGCGTGATGCATTTAGGTCAGCTCTGGAATTAATTTGTCACCAAATTAAGCATTTGTGGTTGGATTTCATCACGTTTTGCCTTTTTCCTTTCTCATTTGAGTCATCATCCAGGTTTATGTGGGTTGAGTGAATTTAAGGGACTTCCCCCACCTTTAGAGAATGGTATCAATTCCTGTTTGTAATTTTGCTGATCTTAATATGCACTTGTGTCTCTCTCGTCTTTTTTACTCATTTTGTATTTCAGATTGAGCTGGCTGCACCGTAACCAATGGTTCCGCCCCTGTGTTCCCTTTTCTGAATTCTGATTGGAACAATGGAATGTCAATCTCATCCAAACAAGTGACTGTGGTATGTTATCTTCAGTTTTCTTCCTTGAAACCACACGGTTGAATATTATCTGCTGTGCTGCATCTTTATTTATTTTTTTGCTTTGCATTGTAGTAATAACGATGTACGTATTTCACTACACCCGGATGATTTTTTTTTAAAATTGCTCTTTCATATCTAAGAAGACTTAATGTTGTTGTTTTTTTTACATGCACTTCAATTTAATATCAACTTTGTCTCAGACGTTTCTCATAAAATTCCCTTGGAAAAATAAAAATGGAAACAAATAAAGCATTGGTTGACAATACTGTAAGTGTTTAGTTTTGGAAGAATTTGAAGAAAGAAAAAAAAAATCCTGACACATTAAAGAGATCTCCTATGTCTTGTCTACGAGAACAGTCATCCTGAAACCCCAAACTTTCTCAAAATATTTTTTTTATCTGGGCTGGGTTTGTTTTCTTCTACTGAATGGTTGATACTTCAGCCCATTTGCCTTTGCCTCACTTTTTATGTCACTGTCCCTTCACACTTACACTTGGCCGTCGTTCACGAGCCTTCCTGTCTTTTTCACTTTGCAGCTTCGTGTGAGCGTGCTTGTATATTTGCGACTCTCAGAACACTTTTCTGCGCTGTAGAACTGGCACGGTGCCAGTCCCTGCCTTTGCCCCTGATCAGAAGCAAACGTGACATTTGTGCCGAGCTAATGGAATCCTTGCACAATTAAATCCCCGACTGCGAGGTGAAGTCGCTCCTTCCATCCCGCCATCCTTCTCCTTTCCTTTAATCCGCAGGAGGGACGGCTGTGATGATGAGACCGTCTCAGCATGTCGCCCCTCTCTTTTGCTCTCCGTGCCACTTTTTGTTTTTAACTTCTCCACATAAACATCTCACTGCCTGGCAATTAATTACCACAAATGTCAATTAACCCCCTCCTTCCAAAAAATAATATCGTAGGAGAATTAAATTTCAATTATAAAAATTATGTTGGAAGGCGGCAACGTTAAATTGCTTTAATGAATTGTGCTGAAGGTGACAGTTGTTATTTTGCAGCCCGTCGTGGCGGGAGACCTTCCGCCTGCTCTGATACAATGTGAAGTGGAGGATGAATAGAGGAAAACAGAAGGATGGGAATGAAATGAGTGTTGAGAGGAACAGAGAGGACGTATTTCCTGCAGTAACGGCTGTACGTAATGCCTCATTTGTGGGATACAGCAGGCAATGGCGTGAATCATTGTTCTGTGCCAGCGAGAGAAAGCACTTAGGGGTCTCTCTCTCTCTCTCTCTCTCTCTCTCTCTCTCTCTCTCTCTCTCTCTCTCTCTCTCTCTCTCTCTCTCTCTCTCTCTCTCTCTCTCTCTCTCTCTCTCTCTCTCTCTCTCTCTCTCTCTCTCTCTCTCTCTCTCTCTCTCTCTCTCTCTCTCTCTCTCTCTCTCTCTCTCTCTCTCTCCTCCCTCCCTTCCTTATTTGACTTGCACAACTGCTGATGGTGCATTTGCCCACCGGTTTTGCTCCAGGACCGTTCCTCCATACGTTATCATATTTAAAGAAATAGTTCATGCAAAAATGAAAATTCTTTCATCATTTACTCACCTTTATGTTGTTCCAAACCTGTATGTTTTTTTTTTTTCATTCTACTGGTTGTTCTTTCCCATGCAAATAGTTCACATGGGGACTGGTGGTTTCGAGTTTCAAAAAGGTCACAGAGAAAGGTGAAAGTATCAAAAGCATGGTCCATATGACTCACATGCTATATTGCAAGTCTTTTAAATTCTTACGATGGATTTGTGTGAGGAACAGATCAAAATAAAAGTTGTTATTCACCAAAATGCTTCCTGTGCATTGAGCTGCTTACCTTTGTGAGTTAAATTCGAGAAGTTCAGTTTGATTCATGAAGAAGTCATTTAGTCTTGTTCTGAGACCTAGATGAACCGATTCTGCCTCAAAAGAATAATTCCTTTACAAATCGTGCAGTTGTTGTAGAGAGGAGTTTTTTTATTTGTCTGCCAGACTATAAAATGGCTGAAAATATACTTACATTGTGACTTGGTTTTAACCTCTTTTTACATGAGTAAAAAAAGACCAGTTAGTAACCACCCAGAACACCCTGGTAACTTCTAGGGGTGTAATGGTTCTCAGTAAAAAATCGTACCGTTCTTCACCCACGGTTTGGCATGCACTTGCATCGTGGTGTCTCAAATCTAACGATGCATACGCATCTATAATACGGTTGGTTGAAAATAAAGTGTAAAACAGACAGAGTTAGGCTGTTTCTGTCGATGGATGCACTTTCTGTCTCATCCTTTGGATGAGACGTTAAACCGAGGTCCTGACTCTCTGTGGTCATTAAAAATCCCTGGATTTCCTTCGAAAAAAAGAGTAGGGGTTTAACCCCTGCATCCTGGCCAAATTTTCCCATTGGCCTCTGTTCATCAAAATGGCCTCCTAATCATCCCCATATAAACTGATTGGCTTCATCACTCTGTCTCCTCTCTTCCAATAAGCTGGTGTGTGGTGTGCGTTCTGGCTCAATATGGCTGCCGTCGCATCATCCAGGTGGATGCTGCACATTGGTGGTGGTTGAGGAGATTCCCCATTCTATGTAAAGCGCTTTGAGTGCTGAGAAAAGAGCTATATAAATGTAATTAACTAATTCCCCATAAACCTTGTTTTTTTTGCGAGTACCGTATGCTGTAATATGACCAGTCATTTACGCCGTCATCACCCCAGGTGTTGATAGCACGCAAGCACAGGTAAGACCTGAACAGCACACATTGCTATCTGTGTTTAAACTAAATTTTTATTTAAGCCTGACCAATTTAAAAATTCAAGCACAAGACGCGAAAGAGAACTCTGGTGCGCTGTAAGAAGATTTGTGTGTGCACTCATTCGAAGCGTGCAAACCCGCGTCTCGGACCGCGCGCAAATATCGAGTTTAGAACACAGAAATTATTTCAACATGCCCGTCATGTCGAGTATCCTTGCAAACGTAGGTTATGTCTTAAGTGAACGTAAACAGTCGAGAAAGACAAACCATGTGCACATTATGTCTCAGTGAGAGCAGCCTAATATTCCTGCTGTCTGTGTTTTTAATGTTAATCAAACAACAAAAGACAAGGAAATCACTTACTACTCTTGACTGAATAGATTTTGTAACTTTAATAATGATAAATATTTAATTTATACAGTGAAGATTATATGCAATGTTGTTTTACATTTGATTACTTCAATTTCTGTACCTGAAAACTACTGTTAGATACCTGAAAAACCTTTAAAGACTGTTCATTTTATTTGTATCAATGATCTATTGTATCTGTTCTTTTTAAAAGAAGTTTATTACAGTAGTCCTTTTTCCCTGAACACAGCACATATACCGTACTGAAACCATGACCCTAAAATCGCGATTAAAAACTGAACTGTGAGTTATTTGAACTGTTACAACCATTCATGTTGGAAAACACAATTCTCATTCTCTTCAGAAAATGTAAAAAGTTAACTACATTTCTCACTATTTGTTTAGTAACTAGTTACTAATATGCATCACATACTGTAAGTTCTCACCATAATTTATTGTAACTTGTGTTGAGTTGAAGGTTAATTTGAAGCAACAATAAAATGGATGCTACCATTTCCTCATCATCTTTTCTGGCTAATAAACTTTGGACAATCTCAGCATACTCCTGCAGTTGGACTAGCCCAAGACGACATCACATATTCTCACCATCAGTGATTAACATCTCACTTTGCTGACAATGATTTTCTTTGTTCATCTGATTGTAAAGTGATAGAGAGAAATATTAAATTGGACCTTGATGCTCATCAAAAGCAAATTTCATCCTATAGGAAAGAGAAATTACGATTGAATCTCTATAACATCTCTTTATTTCTCATTCACAGTAGTTAGGTTAAATAGAAAGTGACTTGACTCCTGATAGTCAGAATTTTCTCCTAATAAACACCCCAGAAGTATTACATGTACATTATCTGCTTTAGAGCAGTGATTCTCAACCTTTTTGACTCCATTGTCCAACACAATATTCAATGGAATTATGACAAAATTGCTTTTTTCCAAACTTTTCTTTTAACTGAAACTGGCAATGTTAATATATTGAATTAATTATTCAATTTATGTCATCTGAGACCTCTGCCCCCTTGTTGAGAGCTACTGCTCTAGAGTTTCAATCCATGCTATACAAAAAGTCAGAGATTCCAATATGATCTCAAAAATGATCGCTATCCCACAATCACGTTATCTGACCTATTCAATCGACTTTAATATTTTAGCTCTATACACTTACTGTATGACAATTTGTCTTTTCATTCATGGAGGAACATTTGAGACAAAGTTGAACTTTGAAGAGTAACTCCATGTCTCCAAGTCTCTGGAGCTAAAAAAAAAAAGAAAGAGCAACCCTTGAGCTATAAAATGATCCTCTGGGATTGGTTTGACAGATAGATTAAGCAAATCATTGTAATTGTACCATTGACCATCAGTCAGTCAAGCAGATAAATGCTGTTTAGTGAATTGAGTACAGATTGAATCATGTTTTGGCCAGTTGCATATTTGTGGCTGTGCAATTAACAACAGCCTAGCAGCCCCCCACACACAGTTCAAGACCACCCCGACGGGCATGGAAATGCAAGTACTGTGTGATGTTTTTCTTTTTCCAAGCATCTGCTTATTGACTGCCATCCACAGGGCCGGACACACACGCATACATTTGCATTGGGCCTACAGCCCTTTGACCGGGCAATTGAAACTCAACACTCATTTAGCAGTGGCTCAACATACGGCCCGCTTCACAACTTAACACAGCACACACACACACTAAAAAGTTCATTAGATCAGTAGCCTGCCTTAATTGCCTCTGTGTAACACACACCGCAGGCTAATGCAGGGGGTCTCAATGCTGGATGTGTCCATCTCACTCAGGGCTGATTTTATGAACACCTTTGTTGTACGTCCTTGTAGTTGCAGCAAGTTTGTTTCCCATCCTGTCATATTTCTCTTAATTCACTTCTCTGT